CTATCCAAACTCGCACAGATCGCCCACGAAGAATTGTTTAAAATAATGAATTTCAGTTTCAAGTTTTCACACTCAACAACTCTAACATATAATAACATGTTTCAAACTTTCCATGTTTCAAATACCAACATAAACTCAACATAAAACGTTATCACATAACAGGACCTCTCAAAGAAATAGCATGAAATCATACTCCCACCCCTGGCCTAACCCACCAGAGAGGACGTCCTGAGCATGCTCTATAGCCGGCCTATCCCACCGCGCTACATCCACGCTTTGTGACCACACTTCTATTTTTAATAAGAGGTACTCAAGGGTGAGTAACTCTTCAAAATAACCGAACTAAAACAAAATGCTTTTGTGAAAACAACTAACTAAATTCATGATTAAAAAACCGAACTAATAGAATTTTATAAAATGTAAATTATACCTTGCAGTATATAGATCAACACACAACAACAAAGACGAACATCCAAAGATAAAAGGATTCCATCACACTCGAACAAGAATTGCTAACCACAACCGATATGCCGTCCACAATCACAACTCAAAGGATTTAGAGTACGACTTGACTTCGCAGAAAAGGAATTCATTGAACTAGACCAATGACCACCTCGATGTTCAAGTATACGTGCAGATCCGAGTTACGAGGCATCCCTTCCACACACGATCTCCACGCCATTCCCAGACGAGGTTGAACACAAAACAAGTTCTCTAAAATAATACAGAAAAACCCGTCATAGCAAACCATTTTGAAATCAGATTGATTGCATTGGGGAACCCAGTCGTTGTCACAAGACGACACAACGATTGATGTTCCTAACTCCAGCGTCCTGGAACTTCTTTAACAAGAGGAACCGGACAAGAATATGATGTTCGCCAAATACCAACGTTCATCATCCATCCTTTGAATTGCAGAAAGTTAATTCTAAAAACTCTGTAAAACCCGGATGGGTGGAACCTGATCTAAACTATATTTTATGATTGGATAAATTGGATATTTTACCACTGTAAAGTATTTAATATTAACCAATCATAATCCATCTAACTAACAACCCACTTATTTGTAAGTGCTGAAATTACTTGTAATTTCAGCACCAGAGAGATTGGAATTTAACTTAGAAATTAGTTGTCTCTCCAAGAGAACTTCAGCAGCCGCAATAAACCAGTATACCCTAGATCTATAGTAGCAATCAGTAGCCAAATAATAACACTGGTGGTGAAACCCGGTAGTAATTATCTGTTTGTTTTTAATTGTACAAAGTGTTTCTAGTAGTTCAGTGATACACTTTGATAAGTTTTGAAGTAATGAGCTAAAATTCAAATGACCGTAAGAGACAGTTCTAACACCGCAAGAGACCATTTTATTTTTTTTGTTTAAATATTTCAAATTTTTGAGGTGATGGAGATATTGTAATCTTTTTGCTGGTTGATATATAAGGTAAAATGTCTTTTATCTGTTTCAACTTTCTAAAAAAGTCGCGTGATATTTGTGCTCGGGTGTTTTTTTTCTCCAAATCAACTTCGACTACCCGTTTTTGACGGAATTTTTCAAATATCTTCTGAAAGGTTCTAATGTCCATAGTTCAAATTTACTCTCGATCAATCAATTGTCGTTAAAGTATCAGGGTTTAAAATGGCCAATTTGCAAAGATTGAAAACTTAAGCGCGCAATAAATTTCCATTTCTCCGCTTTTTTCAAAAAAGACCATGATTTCCCGAAAATTTGAATGTAGTCTATATATAGCAGTTGGAAGATTCTTGGTTTCCTTCTGATACAAACAGTCTTGTTGTACATTGCTTACAAGTAGATGCAGGGAAACTAGATTAATTTTTATTCAAATGCACTGTGCCAAAACTGATATCAATCGACGCTATCTCAGAAAGGTGAGGTTTAATTTCGATTTTTTCCAATAAAATTGTTCAATTTTCAATTCGCAAAGATACTTGAAAGATTCATTTATTCTCCGGGGAATCCTAAAAAATAAGAAGGTTAAATAAAAAATATTCAGTTACGAGCAGCAATTATAATTACAAATAAATTTTCTCATTCGAATTTCAGAGTGAACAGACTAGCAAGAACTAGCAAGAACAGAAAATCTATAATGAGTTTAAATTTTTTGGATTTTGATTGTCTCCAGATTTTTTGAAGACAGCACTGAATGAAGGACAAATAAAAAAACGGTAGCTATCATCATAGCCGAAGGACTGAATGGGCAAAATACTCCAAAAACCAAAAACTGTCGAAAGTTAATTATTAAATTAAATGAATTGTCGTTCAATTAAAAGAAATTAAATCAAGCAAAAATTTAGCTTGCTTTATGACCAAACTCTTGAAATCGGCTGCAAGTGACAATTTTAAAATTTGCATAATTCATCCGTTTTTATACTCGGCTAATTGTATGTCCCTGGAAACGTTAACTTTATGTGATATTTTCATCCTTTCTTTGCAAATTTTAGAATAATAAAAACTGATTGGCCGATTTTTAATTTCGCCCATTCGGTTCTTCGCCTATGATGGATTTCACCTGAAAAACGATATAAAATAGCATAGTTCGGGTTAGAATGTAGAGGTTTCTACGAGAAAATGAAACAATTTTCAACAAAAGTTATTAAAATTCTTTACACACATGAGCATCAAATTGAGTTTTCGTTTCGACTTTCGAAGAGAATTACCCGGTATTTTTGCTTGAGGTGTTTGTTTCTTCAGAAAAATTTGGACTTTTTAAACTCGAGCACGTTTTGAAACCACGAGCTGTTTGACGACTTGAGATTTAACGATTTGAATTGCGATACACTTAGTTTCTAAAAAAATGTAATCCGCGATTTATTACCGACCAAAAATTTTTCAAATTTAAGCGAAACTGTGTGTTTATCAGTGCTGGGCGAAGTTTGATACACAATTTAGTTATACCAAACTCAAACCATTGTCACTTTGCAAACATGAAAAAAAAACATCTTTTTTTGAGCAGTGCACATCAATGCCTTCTTTTTAAATGTTTGCCAAAAAATTTATTTGGAAAAAGAAATTTGGCTGGAAAAAAATTCCTTCTAGAAAAATTAATCTATTCCTTTTTTCGAGAATCAGAACAACAAAAAAGCTTGCATCAGATTCCGTGCAACCACTAATTTGAGTTCAAATGTTAAAAATTACTTTTAGTAAAGTATTCATTTATTTTAATACCTTAAAAAATTAATCCGACTTTCTTTGCCTTTCAAAACTTTGCCGTACTTTTTCCGATAATTTTTTTGCCGTTTTTTGTTCCAACTAAAAACCAAACTGTTTGTCTCAGTTCAAAAACTGAATCAAAAGTAATCGGATACCCACACCGAGCGTTCATGGATTCTAATCATTATAATGGGTTCCCGAGACAAAAAAAAAACCATTATAAGCCATTAATAAATTAAATTCGGAAATCGACTAATTTTGCCAAAATAATCAATTAAAATCGATTGTTTTTGAAATAAAAAAAAACATTGTAGTCCATTATAATCGTGTATAATCCATTTTTTCTTTTTTGAACTAAATTCAATTATTTTTGCAGCAATTTTGTAAATTTTGCAACAAATTTGCAAAATGTATGCCCTGACGTCTACTAAATGTATAAAGTATTCATCATTTAGGACTCTGACAAACTTCTGAAAGTTAGCAAGGATATAAGGGAGTCTTCGCGATTCAATTTAAACAGCGATAGTTAGCATTACAAACTGTTTCTGAGCCCCCCTTAAGACAAAAAAAATCAAGCGTTTTAGATATCAATTATGGACTCTGCTTCTCTTGGACAGTATTTGGATTCTTTTCCCGCATTTAAGAAAAGTGAAAACAAATCGGCTATAATGGATTTTTGAGGTCTAAAATGTTGTAAATATAATCGATTCCATGCTACGTTCAGACAACAAAATTGGAATCGCCAAAACAAAATGCAATATAATTCATTTGGAATCCATTATAGTGGATTTTTTAATAAGTATTAAGTCACAACAAAGTTGAGTTTTTTCCACTTTTTTTTGTTTCGTGCGTCGTGCAAAATTTCGGAAACTTTGCAAAGCGAACGTAGTCCATTTCTAAACCTAAACTCACACTGCAAAAAGATTCCGTTAAGCTCACCCCCCTAACGTTTGCCCCCTTGCTCCCCTGAACCCGCCACCTGAACAACCCCCCCCCCCCCCCCCTGATCACCCCTACCTGAGCTCAACTCTCTCCACAACCTGAACCCCCCTCCCACTGAACCCCCCGGGGAGGGGGGTTGTTGTAAATGGAGTTGTTGCAAACGCTAGGGGGACGGGTAATGGAAGGGGCATTAGTCCACATCCAACTTTACACCCCCCCCGCCCCAAAGTGTCTAATAATTTAACAAAATTGTTGAAAGGAACAAAATTCCTTTTTGAGTAACATGAAAAAGTAACAAAATTTTAAAGTTAGGCACAAAAAAATGAATTGAACAACAAATAACCAACGTAACCAACTTTAGTTGAAAAAATAGAAAAGACTTAATGTGAATTGAATTTCGCATCTCAGTAAAGTGGAAAAAAATCGATTATAATTTAGTTTCATTGTGAAAAAAATGGAAAAAAAATCGATTATATTGGATGAAAAAAGGATTTTGTAGCTTGGAAAAATAGTAATATTATAATCCATTTTTATTGATTTGTTTTCACTTTGTGGACACTGACAAGGAAACTCAATTATTATCGACTTTATTCATGAAACTCCAATGCGGGTCAATTCATTTTAGAAATATTTCTCAGACGGATTAAATCTCCGATTACGCGTTATTAGCACAAAAGATAGTGCGCCTGAATAAATTGATGTTGAGGGCAGTCGAATCATTAAAGGCTTAGCCCTGGTACGAGTAGTCCTGTTACTCTATGGGTTTTGCAGCATCTCTCTCGTCAGTCGATCAAATTTGTTTTCAGCTTTATTCTTTCGAACAGGTGTGCTTCTACTTTCCATTATCCGGCTGAATTATTCATCTATAGTTTTTCATAAATACGTGCAATATTTTCCACAAAAACGTTTCCATTCTAAATTAACTCCATGCTTAGTTCTTATTTCAACTTTTTCGTAGTTTTTCTCAACTTGATCACACGGTCGCTCTCTTTCGTGTGTGATCAAAGCTTAAATGACTGTGGCTCTAATGGGTTCTGCATTTCTGGCTCATGCCGATGTCTGCCTGGATGGGATGGGGTGACTTGTGACCTTGGTAACTACTCTAGTTTAAATTTTAAAAATTGGTACATGAACACTGAACATAAAACAAAATCGATTGCCACTCATTACTGAAATGTTTGATCCTTTTGTAACATTAAACGCGAATCGCCCAAAATGCAGCCCTCAGTGATGACCAAAAAGTATAATAAAGTGATTACGTAGGAGCTACCATTTCGAGTTCTCAGAAAAACGCATCCTTAAGTTTTCCATGTTTCGACTTTCAAATGAGTTATGACCTATTGGTTATACTCATAGAGTAATTTCAGATAAGGTAGACCGTCTGCTCGTCACGCTATCTTATTTTCGGCCGGATGGATTCGTGCAAATTCTTAGTCTAAAACCGATCTTAATCTCACTCTTATATATCCTAGTCTCAATAGATCTAGTGTATACTGGTTTATGCGAGTTAGTTCCTTGCAGTTTATCCAGAAGGAGAACAACTGTAATCAAAGTTTTTTTCAAATTGTTCTGCTCCTAAAATTACAAGTAGTTTCACCACTTATAACTAAGTGTCAAGGTTAGAGATGGAACATCATTGGTTAGTTAGTAATATTTTATAGTGATGAATTATCAAAAATATAATTGGTTTATAAATACTAGTTTAGAACTGGTTCCAACCATCCGGGGTTTAGAGTGTTTTAAGTTTTTAATTGTTTATTGTTGTAATGGACGGGTGATGTAGTTTCTTTTAGAAATATCGAGCGTTGACTTCTTGGAGACATGGTGAAGTTTGACTTTTCCGTGTGAAGTGCCAAGTGACTACGAGCGATACGTGTAGTCAACATCGAGATGGCCATTGGTCTGGTTCAATGGTTTTCCTATGCTGCGATGTTGAGTCCATACTTGAAATCCTTTGAGGGTGATGACTTTTGGCAGAAAATCGAATTGGTTTGCCATTTCAGAGTTTGAATGTAGTTGGGTTGTCATCTCCTTTGCTGCTCGTTTTATGGGCTCTAAGAAATCTTTAAATACTGCATTTATGGTTTACATATATAATTACTTCTTGTTAGTTAAGTTTTAGCTATGATTTATTCTTAATTGTTATCGCAAAAGCGTTTTTATTTTAGTTTGGTTATTTTTTAAAAGTCGCTCACACTAGAGCAGCTCTTGGCAAAAATAGAGTGTAGGTCACAAAATGTGGTTGTAGTGCGGTGGGTTAGGCCGGCTATAGAGCATGCTCAGGACGTCCTTCTGGTTGGTGAGGCCAGGAGTGGGCTATATTTTTATGGTCTCTTTTTGCAGAGTCTCTTTATTTGTGCAACCTTTTGTTTCATTTTTGTTACTTGTTTTTCTCTTTTTTTGTTTTGGTTGTGTCCTTTTCTCAAAAATAGAATCTTTTGGTTTGGGTTTGTCTTTCGATTTTTTTGTGTTTTATTTTGTTTTGGTAAAACTTGAAAGTGGTTTTCAGTAGAATAAATTATCCAGTTTTAATCTGGTTTTAATGTGGTTTGGTTACAGTGGGATTTTTTTTCTAAGTCATGCTATTAGTTTGATGTTTTGTGCCGCTAGTAAGCTGCGTTGGTTAGTTCGGCTTACTATATAATTTCTTCGAACCGGGATAAAGGAAAGTTTCAAACGTGTGAAAACAAGTAAATGTTGTTATTAGTGAAAGTTTAAACTTGAAATTCATTATTCAACCAATTCTTCGTGAGCGAGCTGTGCGATTGTGGAAAGAGTGTGTGATTTATGGGCAAGTGAACAATTCAAATTTGTAAAAGAAACGTATTTTCAAAAAGTTACTACTCTTTATTTATTTGCTATTTATTAGGAATTTACTACATTGAAATAACAATTTTACTGCTATGGAGGTTGAAATTTTTGAAATTACTGCTGTCTTGAAGTGAAATTTTACTAATTTAGAAGATTAAATTTATGCATTTAGCGCTTTTAAAAGGTAAATTTTACTGCTTCAATTATATACTGCCATTGTTAAAATGGGTTTAACAGTTTATAGAAAAGAGTTTACAATTCATTTTATTTCTTTTTAGATTATTGAGTGGTAAAATCTGAAAAAAAACGTGAGACATTTATAAATAATGGTTAGTTGTGTTTGAAACTTGTTAGTTAAAAACTCTTAATTATTTTTACTAAAGGTCATCGTCGGCAAAAATCCATTTTGGAAAACATTTTGAATTGTGTCCGATGATGCGAGGAGTTTAGCAAGCAAGCGGATGACGTATTTAGTTTGAAGGAGAGGCCATAAAAACTCGAGTCCTCTGATGATCGTGTGCTCTTCAGTCCTCAGTGAGAATTCATGCGGTGTGTTTTGAAATAAGTTATGAAAGTTATGGTTATACTTAGTGGATATAATTGATATGTTCTATGACTGGGACTTCAAAGGGCTGTATATATTCGTGGGAGACAATCAGTGGGCGAGATGCTTCGACTTTAAAAGTTCTGTTTAGTGAGCAGAATAATTACATTTGACTTATGTGGTCGTAACTTTCGATGATGCCTTGCATATTAGTGTATTTTATACAGTATGTGAAGTTTAGGAAGAATGGTGAAGGATATTTAGAGTTGATAAAATGAATCGGTGTTGTGGGTTTCGTGATAGTGTATTAGTTGTATAGTGGTGGTGAATAAATTTATAATACGCGCATGTGTGAATTTGTTTAGTGCTTAACATTACTTGATGTGAGCAGTGTAAGTCACGCTCTTTTGGTGTGAGGAAATTGAAAGTTAGTGATAAATGATTAAACTTATTATAATACGAATCGTGGGCTTTGGTGTCGCGAAGTGCTGTGGAGATAATATTATCATATTTTTATTCATGCAGTTAATAACACATACATACTGTTATTTTATGAAAAAGTCTTCAGTTAGTTGAGGATTAATATTTTTTCTCGTCTTCTAAAAAGGTAACTTCCAAATAACGTGGAATAGCGTGATCATAGTGGTTAATTGAAAATCGGTTTGCTTTCTGTGCAACAAACCTAAAATGTTTGCGTTAGTCCGGTGGTTGTGAATTGTTTTTCATGAAGTGCTGTGGTTAGATGATGTAGTCGAGTTTGACATAATTAATTATTTTCTTGGTTCTTATATAATGAAAGTGATAATGGGTTAGTGAGATGGTAATATGATGTCCATGAGAGTGTGGGAAATAGGGCATATTCGTCAACGTAAAATCGTTGATCGTTGTTAGTGGTTTGGTAGTAAGTATATTTTTTAGAAAGTATGGAAAGCACATTTGTAAAAACTCTTGAGTGTTAGTGTTGAGTGGGTGAACGGAAAACATTCGAGGAGTTCGGGGTCTGAGAAGCATTGGGGTATTGGGATCTTTTCGTTTAAACACTCAGTTGGCTCGGGTTTCATCAATTGGGGATGCTAAGTAGGAGGACTCGGAGGAGTTAATGGATTGCGATAAAAGATGAATTGTTATTGTGTTAGGGTTTTGAAGCTGTTGTTGTAAGGTGATGAAAGTTCGTTTTCTAGTTCCAAATTGACGGGGCTAGGGGGGTCGGTTGGTCGCTGGTCATTGGGGAGAGAATTGGGGCTGCGTCGGTGTGGGAAGAAAGAGCCGGGAAGGTTCATCGGGAGTTAGAGTTGTGGAGTGGACGGAAGGGGGGTTGCGAGAAAGTGGACGGGCTGGGCTCGGAATTATGGAATTCATCTGGAGTTTCGATATCGAAATTGTTAAATTGTGAATGGTGAGAAAAGTTGTGTTTGTGGAGTTATCATCTGAATCCATGCGTGGTGAGTTATTAATGTGTGATGGTAGGTGAGAGGGAGTGAGATCAGAGATTGGTATGTTAGGAGAGTGACGTTGGAGATGGGATGGGTAAGAAAGGGAACGGTTGAGGGATCCAATCTGGCGGCTCATCGTAGGCTAAAAAAATGTTGTTCTGAGAACGGAAATTAGTTGTGTGTGTGTGTTCTGCTGTTTATTTGTATAGGTCTTCCGTATTCATTTGATGGGCTACTATATATTAAATGGACTTTGTGGGTAGCTATGTACTTGTATAGATGTGCTCTGTTATTGCTCAATTTCCACAGTTTCGTGATACTAAAGATAACGGATGGTTTTTACGTAAATTGAGTAATTGTGGTGCATTAGGTGTTGTATGTCTTGTGAATTATCATATGCATTTGGTGTGGTTAATAGTTTTTTGTTGTGATCACTTGTTTGAGCGTGTAGAAGAATTTTGTTAATTGAGGTAGAAAAAATTCCAAAAACTTCTGCGATTAACTTGCGTGGGTGTATTGCGCATGTGTTATAGATTCCTTCCAATAATGAGAAGAGAAGTTCAAAAAAAATAAACATTGCAAATAATCCTTCAAAGATGTAATAGAGCCATCCTAGAAAGGCGAAAAAATCATTTTTTAGATTTACAAAACTAATAATATTGTTAGGTGAAATATCTTGTGGACGGTATTTTTCACCGTTTAATTAGATGTAATCTTTTATATCTTTGGAATATCCACTGTAGTCTTGTGCATAGAAGTCTGAGAATCCTGCAGTTTCTGAAAGTTTTCTTGGGTTTTGATCTGTGGATTGTCTTTGAATTGTTCCCATTTTTGTAACGATTTATTTAAATTGTTGTGCGCGAATATGATGTTGAATAGCAGATCTGGAGTATATATCTATTGATTGTAAATCTATATTTGGGTTTCTAGCAATAGCTTTCATTCTTTCTGGTGAAAATTTCTTTAATGTTGGCATAAGTTTAGGCTATGGTGTAAGAAGATAGTACTTATTTTCATCTGGGTTTAGCTGTACATTATTGTGGCTATTCTCAGATCCACATGGTACGGCTGTATCCAAAAACGTTTTCTTCGAGAAAGGGTTTCTACAAAAAGTACTTTTTTTTTTGCAGAATATAGGGATTCTTTTTAACATCTTTTATCTTCAAAAACATATAATGGTGATACTTTATTCGTACATGTGTGATACTATAAAGTATACCTTTCATTTTCTTTAAAATTTGATCTGCTGCCTGATAATAAGTATCCTGCGTAAGGTGTTTTTAATACTGCAAATGCAAGTGACTG